GGAAGACCTCAAAATCCAGCGGGAGATCCAACTGACTCAACTCTTCACTGAGTCTACCACTGTCCACAATTCTGTTCTGGTCCCTGCAGACCCCTGGCTACCACTGCAATCTTTACCTCTCTCTTCATGCCCCCGACCTTACCAATGTGAGTCTGAGTCTAAGGCCAAGTTGAGACAGAAAAGGAGCAGCCAAGGGATAAAAAGGAAATGATGAGACCTGGAGGGAAGATATGAGACTGAGCTATGGCTTGCTTTTGTTTTGTTTTGTTTTGTTTTTTTAGTTTATTTATTTAAGTAATCTCTATACATAACATGGGGCTGAAACTCACAACTCTGAGATCAAGAGCCATATGCTTTTCCAATTGCACCAGCCAGATGCCTCATTAGCTACATTTTTAAGGTAGGAGAAAATATCTTTGTAAGTGGAGTCATTAATAATGATAGCAATTAACATTTATATAGCACCATATGCCCAGGTGGTATCTAAGAGTCATATGTGTATATTTCTACATCTAATCCTCATAGGGGCACCTGGGCGGCTCAGTTAGTTAAGCGTCTGACTCTTGGTTTTGGCTCAGGTCATGATCTCACAGCATGTGAGACTGAGCCCCACATCAGGGTCTGCGCTGACAGTGCAGAGCCTGCATGGGATTCTCTCTCCCTCTCCCTGTCCCTCCCCTGCTCGTGTGCTCACTCGCTCTCTCTCTCTCTCTCTCAAAATTAATAAACTTAAAAAAAAAATCCTTGGGAGGTGTAGGTGGCTAAGTCAGTTGAGCATGACTCTTGATTTCAGCTCAGGTCATGATCCCAGCGTCACGGGATTGAGACTTGCAATGGGCTCTGAGCTAACCGCATGGAACCTGCTTGGGATTCTTTCTTCCCCTCTCTGTCCCTTCCCCACTTGCTCTCTCAAAAATAAATAAACATTTTAAAAAGTCAATCTTCATAACAACCCTATGAGGTAAGCACTATGTATATCCAGTTTTATGGATAAGAAGACTAAGGCGCAGAGCAGTAACTTGCCCAAGGTCACAAAGCAGTAACTTACTAGCAAACGGCAGAGCCAGGATTCAAATCCAGGCAGTCTGTTACCTGAGACCATGACCTTAACCACTATACCATAATAAATGCTGCAGAGAAAGAAAAATATCCCTAAACCAGGGGGAGGGGGGTGCAGGGACTCCCCCTCCCTTATTCCCACTTTCACACAGCAGGTCAAGCAGAGGCTCATCAGATAATTAGGCAGAACCTTTATTTCCTAACCACTCCCTGGATCTCTGTCAGAAAAAGGGACAGAAGCACAGTAGGTAGAAGGCCGAGTAAGCCCTTCTTAAGCAATCCAGAACCCATCCAAGACTGCACACCTGTCACTGCAGCAGTCCTTTTTCACACACCAGAGAGAAGAGGAAGCAGGGTAGGGAGGCTCACTTCTGTGGATTCAAGTCTTGTTGGGGATGTTGAGCAGTTACAGAGGCTTCTCAGGGAAGGAAAAGCCATCCTAGACATTCATGCCTGGAGAATAGTTTGCTCAGCAGATCTTCAGGACCAAGTGTCTCGAATCCTTCTTCGGGGTCGTGGGCCACAACTGGAGCTTGATGTGGGGCCCAAGCTAGGGGGTGCTCCTGGAGGCTGGTAGCCACATTCATTAGGGTCCAGGGGGTCCCGGCTGAGCAGGACCCACACTGCAGGTACATGGCGGCGCACTGTGAGGGGATCTAGGCCTGTGTCGGGTGAGACTGGCACCCAACTGTCCTCAGTCTGCAGGAAGCGCAACTTGGTAAGCTGGTGCAGGCCTGGTACCCGCCGCTTGACAATCTCAGCACAGCTGACCGCCTTCCCTGCAGCCCTGCCAGAACCTGAGAACACCACATGCCGCGCGCTACCACCCTCCAATCGACCCAGTGCCAGCCCCAGAAGGTTGCGGATTTTGCTGCCATCTCGGACCCGCATCTCCAGGGTATCAGGAGGTAGCTGTGGCATCGGAGAAGGTGCTGGGAGTTCCACAGAGCCAGCTTTCCGGTAGTGTTCCATCCCACTTGCTGTTGTGTCTGAATTTCACGGCCCACTGCAGGGAAGTGTTAGATGAATGATGGGCAATGTGCCCCAGGCCAACCCCCAACCCCAGCTCTCCAGGATATGATCCTATTCATCCCAGACTTCCAGGAACAGGACCATATCCCCTCACCCCCGGCTTCTAAGCACAGGTACCATGCCTACTTTACCCTGGAAAGGGGCTGTATCCCACATACCCCATTCCTCTAGACAGGGCCATAACCCTCCCCCCACCCTGGAGTCCCTGCGACAGGACCAAATTCATCAAACACTGAGCTCTTTAGGATAGGGGCCAGCCCCCTCATTCCAAGCTCCACAGAACTGGGACTGAACCTCTCTCATCTTGAGTTCCTTGGGACAGGGCCTGTGCCCTTAAACAAGGACTTCGAGAACCTCCATTTTTACCTAAATCTGTACTTTCTAATTAATAAAGTTCTTTCTAGTTTATCTTTTTCTTCCCACGTTTTATTTTTTTAAGTAAGCTTTACACCCAGCGTGGGGCCCCAACTCACAACCCCAAAGATCAAGAGTTGCATGTTCTACCGACCAGCCAAGCGCCCCTCCAGCTTATCTTTTAACTCAGGGAAATGACCCTGCAGGCAAAGCATCCCTTGATGGGAACCAAAAATACCCCTCAAGCAAAAATAGCTGCTCTAATGCCACCAAGACCCCCTTGATTGGTCCCAAGACAATGATCAACCTGCCCATTACTGCTTCTTGCACCTACAGACCGATCTTGGTCTCACATTCTCCTTATATAAACCTAGAAGTATTTTCAGCACTTTGAAGACAGTCTTTGAGCCTAGGCAGCTGTTTCCGGTGTTGGCCTTACTGAAATAAATTACTTTGTTTCACCACCACTTGGCTCTCTGCCTTCGGATTTTGTCAGACAGAAATGGCAGAATCTGGTCTGTTTGGGATCCTCCAAAACCAAGGTGCTCTTGCACTCCTGGGCCCCGGTTACACCCTTGCCCCAGACTCTCGAAAACAAGACCAAGCGCTCCTCACCCACCGCTCTCCAAGACCGGGACAAGGGCCCCTCACTCTGCTCGCAATGGCTGCTACACTCCAAGCTCCCTGGAAAGAGCCAAGAACCCTCGTCCATATGCTCCTCAAACAGAACTCAATCCCTCCCCCACCCCGATATCCTCAGGATAGGGCCAAGCACCTTTCACCCTGAGATTCCCAGTGTCAACGCCCCCAGCCCAGATCCCTCAGAAATGGCAGCAGAGGCTTGTTGCGGAGGGCTGCCTGGGCTACTCCTAGAGTGAGGTCCAGAGCCCGGCCGTCCCCACCGCCACGGGAGGACTCCAAAGCTCGACAAGCCGCAGAGACCAAGGAACCAGCCTCCCCTCTCTTCCCCCTACCTCGAGGGGCCCCCACCCCACTGCGTTCTAGCTCTCACCGCCCCGGCCACGCACGCCTCAAATTCGATCTGGAGCCAAGATGGCGCGCGGGCCGGGAGCGCGCCAAAGCCGCGGGGCCGCGCACGCCTCATAGGGGCGGGGCCTGAAGGGCCCTGCCTCAACGCGCCTCAGCCGGAAAGCGGAGTTTAGCCGGGACGTCTGTGAGTGCGCTGAACCAGGACGTCCCGCCACCGTGAACATACCGGCAATCTACGATGTTACACCCTGGGGCAAGGGCATCCCTACTGGGGTGGAGAGAGCCCTGCGGAATGGAGCCACCATCAGAGACTCGCGTCCCAAAGATGGGGAGGATCTGGCCCTGAGATGTTTCAGCTGGCGTCACCAGTTGGGTTTCACTTTGGACAGCGGCAAGAGGATCCGTTTGAAGTGGCTGCTGCTGCGCGGGAGAGAGCCTTGGTCACCGAGTTCTGAGCTTGGACTTCATTCCGTGGGCATGGCACATCACGGAGGGTTTTCATCCGGCGGCAGAACAATTTGTGCTGCCGCCAGAGGGGGTGTGAGGGGGGAACTGGGCCTCAAACGCCGGTGAACAGGCCGTGGGGTCCCGGGGGCGTGTCCACTGAGACTCGTGTGGTGCCTAGTGTATAATAGGCGCTCAACTAGTTGTTCTATGATTTCTGAGAATTAAACAGAGAAATGGCAGTGGGAATACAGAAAAGTAGATTAAGTTGGGAGACATTGGGAGGTAGGTTTGGTGAGCAGTTGGTGACTTGTTTGGACTGAGAAGGTAAGAGTCTAGGATGACCCACGGTTTCAGACTTCGGACATGCTGAATTTGAGATGATAGTGAAACCGTTGGGTGGCCAGCATACCATTGAAAAGGGGTCTGGGGCCACAGCACTCCCTAAGACCACAAGGGGGCAGCAAACACTCGGATTGAGGCACCAACCTTCCTCTCCGCTCTTTATTCTCAGGTTCCCTCCCTCACCATCCAGGAACTCCCGACCCTCCAAGCATACACACCCCCCCAGCTCCACCCCAGAGCCCAAAGCCCTGCAACCAAACCTCTTCTGGGCTCCTCTTCCCGCTTAGTGGCACCAAGTAAGTTCCCATGAGAGGAACCTGAAGGTTCCTTTCGCCTTTACACATACTGCTCCCTTGCTCTCAAACATCCTGCATATCACCCTCCAGGACTGCCTCCCCCATTCCTTTTTGTTTTGTGCCCACAAAGGACCCTGTACCCACTTGGTAGGACTGCTCTTTTCCTTGACTGTCTTCCCAGCTAGTCTGTGTAGAGCAGGGATCAAGTGGACCCTACCTGTGTCCTCCCCACCTAGCATGGCACCTGAAATTTACAGGATACTTGGTAAATGTGGGATAAATGGATACACAAACAAATGTTCCATTCGTATCGATCAAATGAGAGCATTGGTTCTGAGAGCTCTACAGCTCCCAGAAAGCCAGACCAGGATGAGTAAACTCCTGGTCCAACCACTAGGAAGGCTGACAATACTGCCTTCTACCACCCCCACCCTCACCACCATTCCCACCCTACACCAGGAAGTTGGCACACTGCTCCAGTGATTTCTATAGTTTATTGTCACTGGAATAGGACACTGATGTGGGGAGGGGATGCAAATAGCAAATCTCAAGTAGCCAGACTTCTGATCTCAGAGTTCCTGAATACGGGCAAGTAGGCTGTGACTCCAATAAATACAGACCTGCCTCTGCCCTGTTACAAAGGCAGGTTAGCACAGGCCCTGGACACTGGCTGTCCCGGCCCACTGTGGGTTGAGGAGCAACCATCATTCCTCTGCTGGCTTCACTTGCTTGGCGGCCTCTAGCTGGCAAAGTAGCTCATCCCACTGCACAAATTGCTTGGAGAGAAGCATCGTCTGGTGACAGGTCAAGGTGAGAACAAGAGCCTGAGTGAGGGACTGGACAGATTTAACATCTGCCAAAGGGTGAGGGAGGAGGGAAACAGACAGGTTGATTGGGATGGGATGAAAGAGACAGAGCTGGTGATGGAACAAAAGGACAGGGCTTTGGACAACATTCCTCAGAAGCCTAGCTGAGCAGAAAGGATACAGTCTTGTTGTATTCCTCCAGGAGAGCCTTGGACTCCTCAGTGATCTCCACACACTGGTCCTATGAGGACAACGTAGGGCAGAGAAAGGAGTTAGATAAAGCCCCTACTTTCCATTAACTTTCCTGCCTCAACAGGGACCTTCACACCCCAGAAAGCCTAGAAAAGGTAGTGTTTCACCCCAGAGCCAAAAAACATTTCTTTTCTTTTTTTTAATATTTTTATTTATTTCTAGGAGAGAGAGCGAGAAACAGCATGAGCAGGGGAGGGTCAGAGAGAGAGGGAGACACAGACTCTGAAATAGGCTCCAGGCTCTGAGCTGGCAGTCAGCACAGAGCCCGACGCGGGGCTCGAACCCACAAACCGCGAGATCATGACCTAAGCGAAAGTCGGACACTTAACCGACTAAGCCACCCAGGCGCCCCGCCAAAAAACATTTCTAATGAGGCTCTGGGATCAGTACCCTAACAGCAGTCTTAAGGAGGAGTGAACCACATATTTAAGGAAACATTCCTGCTACTATGTGTCTTCCTCCCCTGTCCCTTATATTTGAACCCTCTTTGAAGTTTGGGGCCTGGGAATGGTAAAACAAACAAAAACAAAAACAAAAAACAGCTCCTCCACCCATAGTCAAGGACACACCATCCCCAGAAATTCTTGGGTACCTCCCATCATCAACCTTCTGGTATCTCAGAATAGTACTAGTCAGAGAGGCAAGAGATCCTGATGTGGCCATAAGCAAGTCCCTTCCCCTCTCTAAGGGAGGGGGAAGATAAAGGATAAAGCCTCAGGTTTCCCCTGGAGCTGACATTAAGGTAGCCTGAGGCTGCTTGCCCAGGTGGCAGGGGTGGGGACTAGGAGCCTCACCACTTCTACTTTCCCTTCCAGCCCTCTCCCCTCCAATACCTGCTGCTGGATGTGGATCTGGGCCAAGCGCTGCAGGCGGGCGGCATGCTCAGGAACGGCTGTAAAACACAACGCACACTGCCTGATGATGCTTGTGCCTTCCCCCGGGACTGCTCAATAGTCTATTAGGTCTTCAGCAGGATTAGAGTATTGAGTGGAGAAGCTAAGCAAACGCCAGGCTTCATCGACCACTGCAGCTAAAGGTGGTGGTGGGGCTCCCTGCCCATCCCAGTCTTACTCTAGGACCCAAGGCAGGTGGCGGGGAGAGATACAGGGCCCTAGGAGAAAATAAATCTTGGGGTCCCCAGAGTTGTCCCATACCCGCACCCCAATGCTGTAAGCAGGGTGAAGTAAAGAAAGCTCTGCCTGTTACGGGATCTGCCCCTTTGCTCTCAGTCCAGTGGGTACAGGTCTGCCTGGAAAAGGGAGCCTGCAGGTGGGCTGAGGATGAATGCCAGGTTCCTTAGTTGGACACCTAGAATCCAACACCCAGAGCCCTGGCCACCATGCTGGGCCTGTAGCTTAAGGCTGCCAGACGCTCAGCAGATAGCTGATCAGGGGTAGGGAGGGGGGAACGGGAAAAAATACCTCCAGAGACAGACAAGATGGATATCTGGATTCAATTAATGTCACTGTCTGCTTGTCAAAACTCAAGCCCAGGGACTGCTCTCAACAATGCAGCAGGAAGAATTTACACACATTCACACACCTGGCAGGATCTCTTATAGTAAAATCTGGGCTATATAGCAGCCTAAAGGACAGATGCTGAGGGGTGAGGTAGAAGGTAAAAGGAATATTCGGAGTTGGGAGCTGCTGGACTTACACTAGTGTCCTTAGGTCCAAACTACCTGAGGTTCTGAAAATGAACTCTCTGCTCTGGCAATTTTAATCCCAATGCAGGTGGCAGGAACCTCCAGGGTTAAAGTAAAGACAAGGAGCAGACTTAGCTTAAACACAGGGAACCTTGGGCACAGGGAAGTCCTGTCCATCTACCCACCTCCCCAAGCAGAGTGGTAGAGTGGCAGCCCTAAAGAGATACCTTTGATGTGAGCGCTGTCCAGCATGGGCACCAAAGCCTCCACCTGTTCCAGGAGCGCAATCTGGGATAAGATAAACTGCTCCTCTGAGATACAAACAGACAAGACAGTGGCAGTGAGGCAAGCCTGGACACTGCTACTTCCATGCAAGGGGCTGAAAACCTGGCAGAGGAAATGGTGAGTCCTGGTGCATGGGGCAGCTACTCTGCCCGCTGTCCCCTTCTCTAGGTGCATATTCCCCCATTCTGCTCCCACCTCTCCTAGATGCCTCTGGTATGACCCATCTTGAGCCCAAGGAGCCTCTAAGTTTCTCCAAATACCACCTTTTTGATGTTTTAACTCTAAGGCCTCTTCCTTTAGCCTCCTATCAACAAACTCAGTGAATGCTGATGCTACAGGAGACAAAATACTTCAGACTTGGGTCCCCATACCCAAGGATTCCTAGGAAGGTATGAAAGAGGGGATATGTGGCAGACTACCAGGCAGGTTCTGCTCAGTGGCCCTGAGAGGCAGAGATAATTACAAGATCCTGGAGAGAAGGGGCAGTAAGCAGAGTCCAGTGGGGAGAACAGGATCTGGACAGAGCCTGGCACAGGAGGTTTCAATGGCTTCAGGGAGTGGGAAGCACATTCAAGAAGGGTTGACTGTTGCGCAGCTGGGTGGCTCAGTTGGTTAAGCACCTGACCCTTGGTCTCGGCTCAGGTCATGATCTCATGGTTTGTGAGTTCAAGCCCCAGATCAGGCTCTGTGCTGACAGTGCTGAGCCTGCTGGGGATTCTGTCTACCTCTCTCTCTGCCCCTTCCCCGTTCACATGTGTGCGCTCTCTCTCTCAAAATAAATAAACTTAAAAAAAAAAAAAAAGGAAGGGATGACTGTTATGTCAAATGTCTGGAGGCAAGAATGCTTATCAATTAATTGAGGAAAAAGAATTTAATTGAACTGGTGCAAAGAGAGTAGGGGTGGAGGGGATGCCTGGGTGGCTCAGTTGGTTAAGCATCCGCCTTCAGCTCAGGTCATGATCTCATGGTTCATGAGTGCAGGACTTGCATCGGGCTCTGTGCTGACAGCTCAGAGCCTAGAGGCTCTTAAGAGTCTGTGTCTCACTCTCTCTCTCTGCCCCTCCCCTGCTTATACTCTCTCTCTCTCAAAACTAAATAAACATTAAAATTAAAAAAAAAAAAAAAAAAAGACAGCACAGGAAACGGCTGCATGGGAGGATACACAGATTACAGAAAGTTTTGAATGGCAGCTTAAGGAAGTAGGATTTTATACTAGGAGGAGAGAGACAGAGACACTGAAGTTCCAAAGACGACAAAGTGGCATGCTGGAAATGTGTTTGGGGAAGATGATATTGGATCACATGCAAAAAGGGAAAGACTAGGGTCAAGAAGAGGACTTAGGAGATTGCAACTGTTCATGTGTGAGAGGACAGACACTGAGGAAGTGGCCAGGGAGGGAAGGAGAGGCTGGACTCCAGACTTAGTATGGGAAAAGATCTCCTGCACTTGGTACCTGAGCCACTGCAATGGTTCAGGGACATTCTGGCTCACCACTGTATGCCTCACACTGAAGATGCTTTGGATCACAAAAGATGATCATTAAACATCTTTTGAATGAATTAATAAACACAGGTACTTGGCAAACTCTACCTCATGGAGTGGTTGTCTGAGCAGCAAACATTGCCAGGTGAATAGTTCCTGCCTAAAATTCTGAAACACCTACATTTTCTCACGTAAAAGAAAAATGCTGAAAGTCGTGCCAATATTCTCACCTCTACCAAATGCAATGCTTACTGCTCCCACCCTTTCCTAGAAGTTCCTCTGTCTAGTGAGCAGAAGTGAGAAAGGTTCTGAAGGAAGATTGTAGAGGCAGACCATTGATAGAACACTGAAGTATTTCCCACTGTTGCTGGCACCATGGCCTCAGCTGGCTCAGAAGTATATCACACCCAATGTCCACTAGAAGACCACAGGATGACCTCAGGCCTCAGCCCAGAGCCAGGCCAAAATTCCAGACAGCAGCTTCCAGAACTGTATCCATGAGAGGGCTAGCAGGGAGGCCATCTCTATGCCCAACTTCCCCCATAATCCATAATGCCCAGATGCATGTGCACGCATTGTCCAGCACTACCTGCTAAGATGAACTGCAGCTTAGAGGCATCAGGTATGGCAATGCGGTCAATGTACTCAGGATCCAGATATTTGATCAGGTCTTCAACTAGAAAAGAAGCAAGATCGAAAATGGAATGGGGGTGGGGAATGGGGAATCTGTCTTATGTAGGATATTAAGGGATATTAGAATGATATTAGTGGTCAACCTTGGGGAGAGCCTTAAGAGATGACACCCACAGTGTCTATCAGCAGGCCTCCACTGGGCCCCACCTCCCTGTCTCTCCCTTCTAAATACCTCCTGACCAAACTCGGCCTTTACAGCTAGGAACACTATTGCCTCCACTATCCTGGCACCTCAGCATTCCCACTGACCTATCTTCACCAAAGGTAGAAGGGGCAAGGTCCCTTGCCCCTCAGTGCCACCAAGACAAGCCAGAGCCTTTTCTGATTTCTAGGTTGCTGGTTCTGACATAATCAAAAAGGTATGGCTGAGCCAAGCCTGGGCTCTCAGTGCCTAATTTCATTTCTGCCTCTGCACCTTGTCTGTGGAAATCCCATATCTCCTCCCTCCTTCACCAAGAGGACCTTTGAGGCAGAGCTCTTATCCTATAACTTTGATACTGTAATAGGCTTGGAGTTTAACCACAAAGTAGAAATCACTTCAGCAGGGAAACATCTTCACATTCTGTCCCCATAGGGTGACTCTAATGACCTACAGAGCTGGAAGGCAAGGGCCAGTTCCCAGGAAGCACAGGCATGGGAAGGAGGGAAGGCAGGCACCCTATGGAATCACTTACTCTTTTTGTACAGAATCTTCACCCTCTCCCTCTTGCTGGCAATGTTCCCCAAAGCCACCTGTACCTTGACCAGGCCATCAGCCACCTGCAAGGGGATTGAAAGTTAATTCCAAGATTCAGCGCCTGACTCAAGACTTGAAAGGTAAAGAAGCCTCATTCCTTCAGACTTCCAAATCTCCTTATTCCAGCAAAATAGGTTTCCCCCCTACCTTGTCTTGTTTTAAAGGAGAGGCAACCCCACCTTCTGGGAATCCTCAGAGTGAAGGGGAAAATAATCATGTAGTCTTTGGGAAGTTTCAAGGCTGATTGTGAAGGTAATTATGTTAGAGTTTATATGGCATTAGCATAACCTGTCTATTCCCTGGTTCTTACCTCTCTGGCTGAACCTACCTAGGCTTTAGGGGTACAGAGTAAGGAATTCCCATATTAAAGGATCAAACAGAGAGAGGGGCTATGGAAGTGAATGATCTTACCTAGGTTTTAGAATACAGGGTGAGCAATGCTAATATTCAAGGGTCAAATATACAGGGAGGCAAATAGAACTAAGCAGCAACAGCCATAGAGGTAGGGGGATAACAAGGGAGATTTATGTCGTGGATGTCAAAGGGAGCGAAGGTTTCGAGAAATCAGTTCTCAAATGGGGCACAATCTGCTAGTGACAATACCACAAGAAGTATACAAACAGACATCATTACCTCTGATGCACCTAACCCCAGGGTATGCCTGACACTCCACCTTCAGTTAAAAAGTCTTCACATAGTAAAAAGGGGGGTAGGGTGTGAGGTAGGAGAACTAAGCTTCAGGGTTGTCACAATTCAGTCACTGGTATGAAGGACTGTCCCATCTATATCTAAACTCCAGCCGCTGGGTGGCTCAGTGGGTTAAGCAAAACCCAAGCAAACTCTTGGGTTTTGGCTCAGGTCATGATCTGACGGTTGGTGGAATCCAGCCCTCCATCAGGCTCCGCTCCTACAGCAGGGAGACTGCTTGGGAATCTCTTTCTTTCTCTTTCTCTCTTTCTTTCTCTCTCTCTCGCCCGCGCTCTGGCCCGCCCCTCCCCCGCCTCTAAATAAACAAGCAAAAAACACCGGCGTCCAATCCCTTCCTTTCCTAATCCTGGCTCTCAGACCTCATCTCACTCCCGGAGCCTTCCTTATCCACCTTTGCTCTGCCCCCTCCGATGTCCCACGGACCTCTTTCTGTACAATATTTAGCAATTAATTACGCAGGGCTCTATGCTAGTCCTTCCATTGTGGACCTCAGCTTTTACAGAAACTCTCGTTAGTCAGATTCTCAGGTGTGTCAGGTCTCCCCAGCCACCCCAAGAGGACAGAGGCAGTCTTAGTCACAGTTCACAGTGAGCCAATCGCAACGGGTCCTAATACAATGGGTCCTAATAACCTTCAGTGTCCTCCATGGAAATAGAGCCCACGGGTCCAAAAAGCCCCGGAAGGTTTCGAGCCTTTGTTATTCCAAAAGACCGGCTGCCAGCAACAAGGTTCGAGTGGTTGCACCTTTCCCGAGGACCATGCCAGTAGGCCGCTCTTGCTCTGCCCCAGAAAGGCGGCACTGGATCCCAGATCGCTTACCTTCCGCGAGCCACGCGGCCCGCCAGACCCGTACACCCAGCGCTCCAGCTCCTCCACCCGGGCCTGTAGCCGCTGCACATCGCTGACAGCCGCCATGGCTACCTCCGCCCCGCCTCAGCGGAGGAACAGCCACGGGGCGGGATGTCCGGCCAAATAGAGAAGACTAGCTAATCAGAGCGCAGGGGTGGCCCTCAATACGAGAAGTGACGTCACGACCCAGCCCTTCGATGCCGGAAGTGACCGGCAGGGCCAGCGAAAGATGGCAAAACCTGTCTGGTTACCTAGGCAACGACTACCTGTCAGGCTGTACCCTAGTTTTCCAGCTCCTGCTTGTCCAGACAAACTTACCTTTCTTCTTCTAATTCCAGGGTACCAGAGACGTTTCCTACCCCATTCCCCCAGGCTGCCCATATAAATATACCTATTATTTCAGGATTGGTCCATTTCCATAGATCAGTAGGAGACTCTGTGAGATACTCTGATCTTTAGGAATCTTCTAAGGTTCAAGCGATTAACGTCTTGCCCAAGGCCACTCCGCACTATAGTAGCAGAATCAGGATTTGAACCCAGGCAGTCTGATTCATGAAACCCAGCTCCTCTACTTTCATGAATCTTTGCTATTCTGTGTTCCTCTCTTGAGAACCCCTGGCCCAACACAGCCTGTGTATACCACATAATTCCTCCCAACCCCCAGACCCAAACAAGGAGAGGAGGCACTGGAGAGCGAGGGACTGCAGCTTTATTATTCAGATGTGACCTGAGGGATATCTCCTTCACAAAACCCCAACCTAACCCTTCACCTCGCTCCTGAAGAGAAGCAGGTCTGATTTGAAAAGGTGGGGTTCTAGAGATGACACTGACACAGGGAGGCACATGAGGAAATGACGGGGGTTAGTGAGGGCGGAACTCTTTGGTAGATGCTGCTGGAGTTGGCCAGGGAGGAGGTGCTCTCCCTTTACAATGAGGTAGATGTAACATCAAAAGAAGACTCTTTGGCTTCAAGTCCACAGGGCATGGCGGGGGGGGGGGGGGGGGGAAGGGGTCATCTGCCAGGGCTGGGTCCTAGACTGGGTACCCTAGAAGAATCAAGGTGTGGGGGGATGTATCCTCCCCCCTCAGCACTGGGGTTGGGACTCTTAATTCTGAGTGGGAGTTCTCAGGGTGAGGTGCTGGAAGGTGGCCCTGTAGGGAGTGGAGGTGCAGGGTTGGTTGAGCTCTGGGAAGCTGGCACAGGCTGGCGGCGAGCAAAGAGGACACCTGATAAAGGGGTGAGGAGATGGTGGAGGAAAAACACAGGCAGGAGGGGGTGGGCACAGAAACAGAAGAGGAAAACAAAAGTCAGTGTCCTAATTGTTAGAACACCACACACATATACCTGCCACAAACCAATGTGGACAAACTCCTTAGGTCAGTTAGAGACTCCTATGGCAATACAGATATCCTCAAACAAGTAAACAAGAAATATTTACACTGATACATAGGTCCATGACAAGGCAGACATCCCATGGAATCCATGCCAGAGAGGTCATGCCTTAGACCCCATGCCATTGTAGATACCCCTTTAACCCATGCCATTGTAGCAATCCCCTGAACCCCACATTACCCATGCAAGTTTGGATATCCCTGAACCTCATGCTAGCTGAGAAAATCTAAAATCCCCATGCCAGAGCAAATACCCCTGACCTCATGCCAGTGTAGACAGCCTGCAGTACCCATACCAGTGTAGACCACCCCGTTGATCTCTAGGGCCATGTTGATACTGCTGATACCACTGCCTGCCAGATTGAGAGGCCCATCCAGCCGCTCTTCTGTCCAGGAGGGACAGGGGAGTCACATTTTGGAGAATCAGAGTTCAGACTTTCAAAGCCCCCCTCCATCCTTATAGACAGCCCCCATTCCACTTCAGCTCCACACCTATAATCACACAGTTGTCTATTGAGGGATCTATCTGTCCCACCTCCAACACCTATTAGGTGATGGGTCTGTCCTTCCTCAGTGTACAGGCCCAAAGCCCTCACAGCAACAAGCGTTTCCTCACCCCTCAGGGGAACCTTGCCACGGGGCAGGAAACTGGGGGGAGCTCCAGGTCGAGGTGGGTCCATGTGCCCCATCAGCACAGCTCTCTTCTCCGGAGGCTCCTCTGGTGCCAACTTCTCCCTTGCAGGTCCCAAAGCCAGGCCCACAGGCAGTGCCAGTCGAGGGGTTGGAATTCCGCTTTCCTCTGGAAGAACAGTTCAGTCAACTCCCATGGTCCAACCACCTCTGCCCCTGCATTTGGTTCTCGCCCCAGGACTGAGGCCAAGTGAAGTCAACCAACCTCATGCACCAAGTTCAATCTCTCCTCCCATCTAGAGTCTCAGCTTGAGGCTCTGAAGCTGGAGAGCCCAAAGGGCCAATATATACATGTCTAAGTTGGTCCAAGACAATTGGGGCCTTTCCTTGCTCTCAGTTATTAAATAATACAGGCCACAAGAGGCAAAAACTACATGCCAATAGGAGCTGTAGGTGGACAGATGTGGAATGGAGCTCCTCTAGATAAAGGACATTTTCCTGAGCTTCAGGCCCACACCGCAGTAACCCGTACCCCAGACCTCCCACGGTTTCACTGACCCCCAAACCTGAGGACCCCTAAACCTTAGCGTGCAGCAAACCTCAGTGCCATGTCAGTCCTTACTGCCTTCATACCTCAATGCCTCCCAGACTTCAGACTCCCCATATTTTAATTTTCTCTGTATCTCAGCGCACCCCTACGTCTCACAGACGCCCAAACCTCAGATCCTCTCCCCTCCCACCTTTCTTAATAGGGCTCGGACTCAGCTGCGCGCAGGCGTGCGCCGGCAGGCCGGAGGCGGAGCCCTGGGCAGGGCGTGGGCTGGGCGTGGGCGTGGACGGGGCGGGGCCAGGACCTGAGATTGGGCCCGGAGTGCCTCGGGGTGTGGGCCCAGCTAAGCCGTAGAGCGGGGCGGCGGTGTAAGCTTGACGACGGCCCTCGCGTCGGTTGCTGTCGATGGCTGCCTGGAGCTCCCCCGGGGAGCTGAGCGCCCGCGTCTCACACTCGTACGGGTACAGGTACTTCATGTACCTAGGAGTGGACGGACGAGGCGGGGTGGATGGGAGGCTGGATCCCACTGATCAAGTCCCCCAACGAAATGCCCGCCCCTGGGCCCTCCACGCCCTGCGGCCCCTTTCCCGCGCCTTGCCCCTCCGCTCGCGCGCCTGGCCTCACTGGGTGCGTAGAGTGAAGGCTGCCGACGTTATGGTGGTGGGCAGGCTGAGGCCGCGCGTGACCTCCCGCCACACCTTGCGGTTGATGACTTCCACCAGGCCGCCTTTGGCTGTCACCAGGCGAAACAGCGCGTACAGGTCCAGCACCTGCTTCGCCATGATGGGCACGCGGTTCACTGGCGTCCCTGGTGAGAGGTGGACAGAGAGTCAGAACACTAGGACTAAGACCCTATCTGCGGACATCCTCAAGGACCGAAGGAGGCGATTGCCTGGACGAGGCCAGGGTACAGGGCTGCATCTCCGAGAATCAGGAAGAGGGAGGGAGGGAGGGAGAGGGAGGAATCCCTGCGGAGCCCTCAGAGCTCCCAACCCTGCCTTGTAGCAGGAAGGACAGGAAGCTAGATCAGGGGTCGGCAAACTACTTCTGTAAAGGTCCAGACCTAAGTATTACAGACTTTGAGGGCCAAACCTCCTCTGTCCGAACTACTCGACTCTGCCATTGTAGTTTGAAAGCAGCTATGGAGGATATTTAAAGGAATGAGCCCGGCTGTGTTCCAACAAAAACTTAATTTACAGACTCTGAAATTCGAATTTCACACGTTGTGAAATGTTATTCGTCTTTTAATTTTTTCACTATTTAAAAATGCAAAACCATTCTTATTTCGCAGGCGGCTAGATTTGGCCAGCCGGCTTTAGTTTGCCGACCCCTAGGGTAGACCGTAGTAAGGACTTCCTGACAGTGCTGAAGAGCTGGACTCCCTCAAGCAGCGGCCCCCGACCCGGCCCTGGCCCCCGGGTGGCTGCCAGAGACTGGGGGATGGCGGAGGGGAGAAGCAGGAGCCCCCGCCTCCGCTCGCCTCGCCAACTCCGTAGCTTGCGCGCTGCCCCCGCCGGCCAGTCCTGACAAAGGAGCCTGTCTGCTCTGAGCGATGGGCCCCAGTTAATTCCTTACCGATCCCGTCCCTTTCCGCCGCCTCCTTTGGACCCGAACAATTAGCTGCGGCCTGATTAATGTGGGGAAATTATCGGTCCCACGGGACCTCCTCCCCCCCTGCCCCCTGCAGACGGAGGCAAAGACCAGAGGGAAGAAGAGCTCCCGTCCTGAGGGTGATGGAGGGACTGCTGGGATTTGCTCAGACCACCCTACCCCACTTTCCCCAGCGGGAGGGAGACCTCCCAGTGAGGGTCAGGGAGGGGACACCGGGGCCAGAATGACTGGGCCTTCCTGGGGAGCAAAAAGACCTGGGACCCTACTGAGGGTCCCCGGTTAGAAAGGATCCCAAAAGGGGTGCTGGGCCTGTGGTGGGAGCCTGAGGGACTTTGACCAGCAGCTGCACTAAGGGAGGGGGTGTAGTGCAGCCAGTTAATTAGTGGCTTATCAGGCCAAGCTCCGAGTGAGTTAATTAGCTTTGTAGAGAGAGATAATGAGTCAGTCTTCGGACCCATGAATCTGGGGAGAAGCCTAAGTGATGGACTGCCGCCCACCCTGATCTCCTCCTAGACCCTTGCATTTCTTCTATCTCAGAGATTCCTGGGAAGGAATTCCTCCTCCTCCACAACCCCAACTCACATGGCCCCCAGCCTACCCTTGAGAAGTCCTTCCTTCAGTCTAATCCCAGTCCTTTCTGCTGTAGAGCATATTGGATGTCCCCTGCCTGAAGCAAGGGGAAACTGAGGAGAGACAAGGCTAGACGAAGGGCCACTGAAAGAGGAAGAAGGCATTCCCAGCCCCCCAATCCTGGGAACCCCCCTCCCCAGGCCAGCCCCCAACCAGTCTCCCCTCCCACCCTCCCAATTGATCCCACACTCATTAACCTGCCAGTGGGCTGGCCACTAATTAATCCCTGGGTGGAGGAAGGGGGCAGGGTCAGAGGTTAAAGACGCTATTGAGGGCCCAAAGGCTAGGTGTTGCCA